CCTCAACTTCAGAATGTGGGATAAAAAAAGACACCCCCTTAAAAAAAAAACCCAGTTGTCCCCAAAGTACTAGAACTTCCAAGGCTAAAAAAAAAAAATGATAATCAAACCAGACAGAAGTAAAATTAGGCAACAATAGAGTATTTTTATCTTCCTGCTGCAGGATAAACAAAATAACACAGTCCAAGCTGAGCCTCTTGTCAAATCTCAAAACTGAGTCAACAACCTGTTCTTGTGGCTTACAGCTTTGATGTTGATTTATGTTCTTTCCACAATTTTTTTTAAAAAAAGGACTTGTGCAACAGTCCTTTTACCAAAGACAATCTTAATCCCAGAATCCGGAGCCTTTCACTGTTGACCGGTTAAGCTAGTGAAGAAGAAAAAGATTTGATTAAGCCCCGCAATGCAACCTTGGAAATTAAATCCAGAATCTTTTTTTTTTTTTTGGGGGGGGGGGGGCTAAGTAGAGAGGGTTTTTAAAAAATTATTATTATTATTTTGGCTGCTGGTGCTTACTGCGGGTAATTCCATAAAGTGTGGGAAGTAATAGATCCAATTTGGAAGAAAATCAATGAATTCTACTGCTTATCTAAAGGGAGCTTTGTCTGATCCCTGCAGTTTTTTTTATATCTTCTCAGGTGAAGGATCAGTAGGTCACCAGATGGTCTAAATGTTTGGGAAGCTACATATCCAAAAATACTTTGGGGGTTGCCCATAAAGGCAAGAAACACACCGGTCCATCAAAAGCAGCTATAATGTCTGCTAGAACATAAGATTAGGATTGGAAGGGGCCTTGGAGGTCCTAGCCCAACCCCATCCATGGCAGGAGGTCTGATACCATGCCAGATCTTCTTTGCGCTTGACAAGAGGGATAGACATGATCCTATCTCATTTATCTCTCCCATCAATATATCATGTCAGAGAAATGCAGAATATCACGAAGGAATTTTCACAGATTATTAGTTCATAAGAAAGAAGAACTATGTAATGTGCTATATCAGTTTATCTGAATCAGGGGGGGTTTGTTGAATAAGCTACTAGGGCTGTAAGCTGTCCTATAAACCACAATGGTCAGATTCACACAGCCTATCAAGCCAAAACTAGGAAATTATATTATGGTCAGCAAAATATGTGAATGAAAATCATGAAGGAGTTGAGTATAACTTTCCTACAGCACAGCTAAAAAATGAACCTTCTTAGGTTTAGAAAACTAGGAAAGATGGGCAATTGTAAGGACTTGGATAGAAAACCACTTGGAAAATTTAGAACTGCAGATCAGATTGGGCTAAACAAACAAACAAACAAACAAACCATCCTGTAAGATGTCACAAACCACCATCTTCTGTAGTGTACCAAGAAAATTGCTATCTAGTCATATCTCTCTAAGTCACCAGGGATCAATTTTGACTTGAAGGTAACCTGACTTCAAAATAATTAAATCTTTCGCTTGATATTTCAACAAGGAGAAATGATTGCCGGCTTGTCTATAGTTTAATGAAACAAGTCCACCTCAAATTGTAATTTATGAAGCTAGGTCAGTGGTTCTCAGCCTGTAGTCCATGGACCCCTGAGAGGGGCGTGATGTCCTCACAAGGCGGTCTACAAAGAAGAAATGTTAGGATTTAAATCTGGAGTTAAGTCTTGGAAGTCCATGGCCACAAAAGCTATTTAAAGCGGTTTTCTGGTGAAGAAAAGGTTGAGCACCACCGAGTTAGATGATTCCAGAAAATCGTTGCAATGAATCACAGGTTTGGGATCCTGTTCACACAACACTGTAGTTAGCATTCAACTGCAATGGCCCGAAAATGAAGCAAAGCCAATAAACAATGGTTGGAAACTAATCAAAGAGAGAAGCAACCTGGAATTGAGAAGAAACTTCTGAACAGTGAGGATAATTAACCAGTGGAACAGCTTGCCACCAGAAATTGTGGGTGCTCCATCACTGGAGGTTTTTAAAAAGACTAGACAGGGGCTGGGCTAGAAGACCTCCAAGGTCCCTTCCAATTCAATTCTATTCTATTCTATCCTATCCTATCCTATTCCATGGATAGTGCTAAATGAGGTATCCATCCATACAATGAGAAGAAAAGAAAAGTAGAAAAAGAGAACACAAGTATCAACCTACCTCACAACTACAGGAGAAACGAAGAAAGTAAAAAAAAAAAAAAACAACCCTCTTCCGAGGTACAATCTGAATCTGCTTTCTCGAGCAAGAAATGGTAAGAACCCATCTTCTGTGTGCATAAAGAAAGGATATCAAACAAAGAAACTTCTAATGCATAAGAAGCAGCTCTACAGCTGCTGAAGGTACGTTCTGAATGCTATGCTAGTCTTAACGGGAGCTTTGTTGGCTCGGTTTCAGGTCACAATATTTTTTCTTTTCATTATAGAATTAGTGTTAAAACATTGAAATACAGGGAAAATGGGAAAACGCAAATGTTGAAATGCAGAGACAGGAGAAGACAAGAAAGAGAGACGTAGGGGGAAGCGGAGGGGAGGGGAAGGGGAGGAGAGGAGAGGAAAGAAGGAAAGGAAAGGGGAAGATAGGGAAGGGGAAGATAGGGAAAGGAAAGGAAAGGAAAGGAAAGGAAAGGAAAGGAAAGGAAAGGAAAGGAAAGGAAAGGAAAGGAAAGGAAAGGAAAGGAAATGGAAGGAAAGATAGGGAAGGGAAGTGAAAAGGATCTACTCTTAAAATATTCTTCCAACTTTTTAAAGCAATTTTCACATACACTTGTATATTGACAATGGATTCTATACCCCAACCCAACAGGAACATCTCCAAGCAGTTCAGAGAGGCAAAATGAGGTGAAATGGAAAAGAAAGACAAATTATTAAAATGTAAGTAAATTAAATCCATTTTTTCTCCCTTAAACTTATACTTGGAAACTCAAAGGGGGGGGGGGGTTGGGGAAAGCATCCCCTCCCCCTGTTGCATTTGCACAGTAACCGCCTAAGCAAAAGAAATGGGGTTTTTAGGAAGGTGCCTGAAAGTTATGAAAACAGACACTTCTCAAAGATTAGGAAGACAAAAGACATGGTGGCAGAGAGAGACACCCTCTGTAATGAGCAAACTCCGATAATGAGGCACGGGATTGCATATAAAATGGGCCTCTTGAAAACCAAGGGGTTGTCAGAATGCCTGCAGAGGAGAAACTGAACTTGGCAAACGAATAAAATAAAATAAAATAAATAAAAGGAATAGAAAACCTAGGAACCTTCTTCTTTCTTTCATCCCACCCCAAAACAACTCGGCGAGAGATGATTATGCTCACCGCCCACTGAATGCAAGAGATTTGGGAAAGAAAGAAAGAAAGAAAGAAAGAAAGAAAGAAAGAAAGAAAGAAAGAGTGGAACAAGAGATGGAAGGATTCCACTGCAGGTAGTCCTCGACATACGACAGTTCATTTAGTGACCATTCGACATTACCATGGCTCTGAGAAATGTGACTTATGACCTCCTTCACACTTATGACCGCTGCAGCATACCCGTGGCCACGTGATTTTACATTCGGATGCTTGACAACTAGTTCATATTTACAATGGTTATGTGGTGTCCTGGGGGTCACGTGATCCCCTTTAGTGACCTTCTGACAAGCAAAGTCAGTGGAGAAGCCAGATTCACTTAACAATGGTGTTGCTCACTTAACAACTTCAGCGATGCCACCAATGAGATTGGATAAAATGTACCCTAACATGAATCCGACATGCTGGAAAGGCAAACAGAACCAAGGTACCTTCTATCATATGTGGTGGTTATGCCCGGAAGCCCAAAAATACTGGACTATAAAATAGGGAGTTGGATACAAGAAAAGTGGAGGATCGAATACAGTTTAAACCAGAGTTGTTTTAGTTGGGAATAAATAAAAGGGAAATATAGGAAAAAGATGAAATATATTTTACTACATATTTTGACAGTAACAAAGATAGCATATGCACAATAGCAACAGTACTTAGACTTATATACCACTTCACCATGCTTCACAGCCCTCTCTAAGCAGTTTACAGAGTCAGCCTCTTGTCCCCAACAATCTGGGTCCTCATTTTACTGACATTGGAAAGATGGAAGGATGAGTCAACCTTGAGCCTGGTGGGATTTGAACTGCCAAATTGTAGGCAGCAGTAGTAGTCTGCAGTACTGCACTCTAACCACTGCACCACAAAGGCTCATAATAACAATGCTGGAAACAAAATAATATGCCTTCAGAGGAATTAGTAATTCAAAAAAAAAAAAATGCTGAAAGTGCTGAAATGGATAAATTGACATTAAAATTAAAAGATAAAGAAGAGTCGGAATATTACAAAATTCAGGGCAATTGGTATAAATGGTGGAACAATAGAACTAAGGATAATGGAGATAAGAAAATTATAGATAAACATATACGAATGTATATAAATATAGATATTTACATGAGATTTGTTTATATAATAATGATGGCACAGTACTGTTAATATTAAGGTGAAAATATATAAAAGGTGAAAAAGAACAATAAAAATCATTGAAAAAAACCAACAACAACCACAGTGATTTGCTGAAGGACTGTGGCAAGACCAAGTTGTAGAATGGGGTTAAAATGAATTTTTCACTTAGCGACATAAATTCTGGGCTCAATTGTGGTCATAAGCCGAGGACTAGCTGAACAGGTAAGCCTTGTAGCGTTTCTCCAGGTAGCTCAATCCTTAATCATGAAGATCTCATTCATTTTATACAAACTGCTCGTACGATTCAAAGAAGAATTCAATGTTTAAAAAGGAAGCCCATGAACAGTGGAGAGAATAGAAAGGCCAAAATAAACAAAGAATTACAAATAAATATTTAAAAAAAAAATATGACTAAGGCTTGGAACCAAAAATATTACAAGGTGGGACAGATGACAAGCAGGATATTTCTTTGCAAGTTGACCAACATACATCCTTATGCCTTGGGGAATTTTTTTTTTTAAGAGAGACAATGTTTACTTTTATATATATATATGTGTGTGTGTATATATTTAAAAAAATCACCTTCGAGATGAAAATGTTCATTCTCAAGCGCCTCCCTGAAAATTTCACCAGCTGCCTCCTATAACGAGGAAGAAAGAAAAAAGGTGTCTGTTAGTTTATTTCATATTAAATAATATTTTTATTTGGTACTCACATTAATGAAACCCAAAAGCAGCCCCTGGTAAAAAAAAGTCAACACTGTGTCTGTAAAACTACAGGCACTAGGCTTACAAACCGACAAAAGTGACAATGGCACTGGAAAAAGTGACTTGGAACCAGTCCTCGCACTTACAACCATCACTGCCTCCTCACAGTCACAAAATTCAGGCACCTGGCAACTGGAATATATGTACAAACATGGCAGGTATATCAGGTCACATGACCACCTTCTGGAACCTTCCCAACAAAGTCTGTGAGGGGAGCTGGAATGGAATGGAATGGAATAGAACAGAATAGAATAGAATAAAAATAGAATGTAGAATATAGAGACTAGACTAGACTAGACTAGAACAGAACAGAACATAATAGAACAGAACAGAATAGAAAAGAATGCAGGAATAGAATAGAATAGAATAGAATAGAATAGAATAATGGAACAATAGAGTAGAGTTGAGTAGAATATAATACTTCATTGTCACTTTGAATGTACACTAATCACCATACATTAAAATGAAATTACATTGCATATCACTGCATGATTCACTTAACAATTGCAGTGATTCGTTTAACAACCATGGCCAAAAAAAAAGCCATCATAAACTTGGCCCTAATTCACTTAACCACTGGCTCAGCAATGGAAAGTTGTGGTCGTGGGTCCAAGTGGGGTTGTATATTGACAACTACAACTTAAATATCTGTAAATATTTAACCCCAGGTGCTATCCTAATGTTTACTGCTTAGGGTAGGTTGACGACGATGATGAATTTAAATGCATTTGGCCACCCAATTTCAGTGGATTCCTTCTTCCTATTTTTTTTCCTTACAACCACCTTGGGAGATAGAGACGTATCTGGCCTAAATTCATCCAGGTGGGTTTCTAAGGTGGAATGGAGATTCAGCCTGAATCTCCACAGTCCCAATTCTGCATCCTTACATCTATGCTTTGGAAAATTAGCAGTTTTGCCTGCCCATATTGTCAGTACAATTCCAAAATCGAGCCTTAAAACCAGCCCCTTTTAAGGCTTTACTGAGCCTTAAAACCAATAAAGATGTGGGCTTTTTAAAAAAAAAAACTTGGGTTTTTTATACATCTTTAATGTACATTTTATACATCTTTATTGTACAAAAGACTGTAACCTTTTAAAAATGCAAACAATTCATTTACTCCTTTTAAAATCACGACCGCATTGGTAATGTATGGTAATAATATGGAATAAGGTAGCATGGTAATTTGGAGGGGGGGAAAAAGAGCTTGTAGAGGGGAATAATTTTTTCCTCAATTTCTCTCCCTTTTTTTTTTTAAAAAAAAAAAAACACATTCTCCCCTCAGCCCTCCGAGCATTAGTTTATATTTATCATTCCCCATTCTGTATTCGTTAGTTATTTGTTTAACTGGGTTGATAATTATTGACAATTCAGGCTTCGCTTCTTTAAATTTCCTCTCCTCAGGGTGGTTATTATAATGAGAACTTCCAAATAGCTGTTTTGTTGATTTCTGCAAGAGCATCAATACGCTTATTAATAGCCTATTAACCGAATGTTCTTTTCTAAAACCAACCATGCTAATCTTTGTGCCTTTCAGAGCCACCGCTAGGTAACTGGAGTGCATCAGCTGTCAATTAAAATTCTGCTCTCTGTGGTGCCTGTCTGATTATGCTATGCATCATCTCAGGCAGGCAGGCATTTATTTAATAGAACTATGTGTGTGCAGACAGGCAGAATTCTTTCTTTCTTTCTTCTTCCTCCTTCTGCCTCTCCGTCTCCTTCTTCTTTCCCCTCTCCCCTCCTCCTTCTTCCTCTTCCCTTTCTCCTCTTCTTCTTCTTCTTCTTCTTCTTCTTCTTCTTCTTCTTCTTCTTCTTCTTCTTCTTCTTCTTCTTCTTCCTTCTTCTTCCTCTCCTCCTCCTTCCTCTTCTCCCGCTCTCCCACCTCCTCCTCCTTCTTCTTCCCCTTCTCCCTCTCTCTCTTTCTTTCTCCTCCTCCTCCTCCTCTAGATGTTCAGAATGGATTGTCAGATGTTCAAACTGTTGTTGATATCATTGTGATGATGATGATGATTATTATTCCAAGAACCAAGGAAGAAAGATTCACTTCTCCAGGCAAAGAGACATAAGTACACCCCTACCATCGCTTTTAAAACATCCCCAGAGAGAAAACATCGCCCTCTTTGCAAAGATAAGCCCAGATCAGATTCCAAGGAGAAAATAATCACATAGATTTTCCATTGAAATCAAGGGAAGGGGGCTAAGGGTCTCCAATGTTCCTTTAGGAAGCCGGGTATCAGTTCTGAAAGAGGGGCAAAATGTTTGTAATTGCCACAGCAGTTCCTCGCTAATGATGTTGCATTAAAACCTGCTGAATTTTGAAACAAGAAATTAGAAATTGTAATCCAATACACCTGGAGCAATGTTTGTCAAACCTACACCAACAACTTTAAGAGCTTTGGACTGCAGCTCCCAGAATTTTCCAGCTGTCTGGCTGGGGGTTTCTAGGAATTAAAACCCACAAATCTGAAAGTTGCCGAGATTGACAAACACAACTCACCTGGAGAATAATGGGAGAAGGAAAACTTCACCTAACAATAACCAGATGCTCCATTCTAACTTGGGAAAAGAGTGCAGTGCATTTATTTTGAAGTCAGAATACATTTATTCCAAATGCATTTATTTCACTCCACACTTGTCTTAAAAGAACAGTAATTGTGAGAAGTCCCAAAGCTAGCAACAGGAGGGTGTAGCATTTTTCCTTAAAAAGGCAGCTTAAACCCTGGGGGATTTTTATTTTAGAAAAAAAAATGACGGCTAAGGAAGGAAGTGCCATCAATGTGAAAAAATAAGGACATCACCCAACGGAGAATATTGTGTGCATATATATCTACACACATACATACATACTGTGTGTGTGTGTGTGTGTGTGTGTGAGAGAGAGAGAGAGAGAGAGAGAGAGAGAGAATACATATATGTATTTATATGTGTGTGTGTGTGTGTGTGTGGTGCGGTCTTGCCTCACAATCAGGAGGCTGTAAGTTCAATTCTTAGTAGCAGCAGGTATTTGTCTCTCTAGGAGCAATGAGTTATTGTCTGCTGTGAACTCCCCTTAGGCATCAAAAAGGACATTCGGCCAGTAAATTCTCATGCTCCCTTCAATCGCCTTGACTCCATCCAATAGAGGGGATTGCAGGCCCATTCAAAGGAGAGAGAGAGAGAGAGAGAGAGAGAGAGAGAGTATTGTGTGTCTACATGGCACACATGTATATGTATGCATACATACATACATATCTTCTAACTAAGCCCAAAATGGCCTAGTTAAGGAAGCCATTTGTTCAGGAAAGACATAGAAAACCATTTCTTGTAAATCCTGCAAAGAAAATGACAGTTTATATAGCTGAAAGAGCCTCAGACAAACCGAAAGTCATTAACAGCTATGAGTTGGGGCGAATGATCCTTATGGCCAATGGGTCTTAATTGGTACTCCGCCTTTACTCCAAACATCTCAAGATTGGAAGCCATCGACCTATTGTTTTATCCTTCAAATATCACCATGAGGCAGATTGTGGCAGAACTAATGACTGGCTTCACACGTCCTGTTAACCTCTCATAGGGTTGGCTTGATCTGGGCTTAGCCCCAGAGAGAAGTGGCTAGAGATGTAGCTGCTCTCTGGGGGAAAGTGCTTCAGTGAAGAACAGATGGGATGTTCCAATGAGAGGAGCATCGGAAAACTTGAAAGAAGAAACACAACTGTTTTGAGCCTGTTCTTGGCAGCCTTCAAGATCCCCCAATAGGACCCCACCCTATTCCAGTTCTGTCAGTTGTAATCCAGCTTGCCTCCCAACAGGTGCTCTACCATGAGAAGGAAGGCTGTGATTTCATCCTGGTCAATTGTCACTGCAAATAAATAAACCTTCCCTGGGCAAATGAGAAACTGTGTTTGCCCCATAAGCAAAACACAGGTGTAGGGCTTTTACTAGGGAACTAATGCAACTCTATAAATCTGTCAACAGAAGGTGTGGGAAGATCAGATGTCTCAAAGATTGGTCTTGGGCT